CAGCTCTCAATTCTACCTCTATCAAATTTAATTTCATACTAGAACACACCGCTGAAGGTAGAAGAAAGTCCAAAAAGAAGGTCCTTCTAGAAGTCTCTGCACGGTGGCGACTCTGCTTGAGTCCTTACAAAGTCCCGCAGTACATTTTGCAGAGACTCTGCAGTGTTGGATAATTTGACTCTCGTCTCTCATGCATACAATGACTCACTTTTTTTCTTTATTTGAGACCAGAGTCTCACTCTTGTAGCCTTAGTTGGCCTGAAACTCAGAGACCCAGCTGTGTCTACTTCACAGCCTGAAAGATTCACCTGCAACCCCTTAGCGCTCCCTGAGGGGGAACACCTGCCTTCACCATATGCTCACCAACTGCCAAACACTATTTCTAAGATTTACTTCACTGTGTCTTAAAAGGCAAATACAAGCGAAACGCTGTGTGTTTTGACTCTGAGACAAACGAGATCAGTTCTGATTATCAAGAGAGTTGAGAAGAATTGGTCAAGCAGGGAAGAATTTGCGTGTGTCTTAGAACCAGACAACCGAGGTCTAATCGCTTCAGCTCACAGAAGCCTTCAGAGCAACAGAGGTGATGAAATATTACATCATGCAGAACCACTGTGAAGACTAAATGGGAAGCTGCATGAGATCTTGAAACTTCCCAGGGACAAATATATAAATATTCCACCAAACCACTGCTCTCCGAAATACTTATCTTTTGCATACCAAATATTGACTCTGTCCAGAAAATGACCCAGAAAACCAGCTCCTCAAATGGTCACACAAATCACCTTAAACCAGTTGTGGTAAAATTTAAGCTTGATCAACGGAAGTTTCTTGTTCATCTTTCCTCCTGTGCTATAGTACCCCAAACTCTAGCCAAAGGCTTCCTTTCTGTTTTTTATTGATTTTATTGAGCTCTACATTTTTCTCTGCTCCCCTCCTTTCCTCTCTCTCTCCTTCTACCCTCTCCCATAGCCCCCAAGCTCCCAAATTATTCAGGAGATCTTGTCTTTTTCTACTTCTCACGTAGATTAGATCCATGTATGTCTATCGGAGGGTCCTCATTGTTGTCTAGGTTCTCTGGGCTTGTAAATTGGTTTTCTTTGCTTTATGTCTAAAAGCCACTTATGAGTGAGTACATATGATATTTATCTTTCTGGGTCTGGGTTAACTCACTCAATATGTTTTCTAGATCCATCCATTTGCCCACACATTTCAAGATGCTGTTATTTTTTTCTGCTGTGTAGTACTCCATTGTGTAAATGTACCACATTTTCCTTATCCATTCTTCAGTCAAGGGGCATTTAGATTGTTTCCAGGTTCTGGCTATGACAAATAAAGTTGCTATAAACATAGTTGAGTACATGTCTTTGTGGTACGATTGAGCATCCTTTGGGTTTATACCCAAAAGTAGTATTGCTGGGTCTTGAGAAAGGTTGTTTCCTAATTTTCTGAGAAATCGCCACACTGATATTCAAAGGGGCTATACCAGTTTTCATTCCCACCAGCAATGCAGGAGTGTTTCCTTAACCCCATAACCTCTCCAGCATAAGCTGTCATCAGTGTTTTTGATCTTAGCCATTCTTACAGGTTTAAGATGGAATCTCAGAGTTGTTTTGATTTGCATTTCTATGATAACTAAGGATGTTGAGCATTTCCCTAAGTGTCTTTTAGCCATTTTAGATTCCTCTGTTAAGAGTTCTCTGTTTAGGTCTGTACCCCATTTTTTATTGGGTTGTTCTTTTGATGACCAATTTCTTGAGTTCTTTGTATATTTTGGAAATCAGCCCTCTGCCCAATGTTGTGCTGGTGAGGATCTTTTCCCATTCTGTAGGTTGCAGTTTTGTCTTGTTGACTGTGTCCTTTGCTTTACAGAAACTTCTCAGTTTCAGGAGGTCCCATTTATTAATTGTTTCTCTCAGCGTCTGTGCTACTGGGGTTCTATTTAGGAAGTGGTCTCCTGTGCCAATGCGTTCAAGTGTACTTCCCACTTTCTCTTCTATGAGGTTCAGTGTGGTTGGTTTTATGTTGAGGTCTTTGATCCATTTGGACTTGAGTTTTGTGCATAGTGATAGATGAAGGATCTATTTTCATTCTTCTACATGTTAATATCCAGTTATGCCAGAACCATTTGTTGAATATGCTTTTTTCTATTTTATTTTTTGTTTCTTTGTCAAAAATCAGGTGTTCATAAGTGTGTGGATTAATATCTGGGTCTTTGATTCAGTTCCATTGGTCCTTCTGTTTTTGTGCCAATACCAGTCTGTACTGTAGCTATGTAGAGTTTGAAGTCAGGGATTGTGATGCCTCCAGAAGTTCCTTTATTGTACAAAATTGTTTTGACTATCCTGGTTTTTTTTTTTTTTTTTTTTTTTTTTTGCTTTTCCACATGAAGTTGAATACTGCTCTTTTGAGGTCTGTGAAGAATTTTGCTGGGATTTTCATGGGCATTGCATTGAATCTGTAAATTGCTTTTGGTAGGATTGCCATTTTTACTATGTTAATTCTACCCTACCCAAGAGCATGGGAGATCTTTCCATTTTCTGGTGTCTTCTTCAATTTCTTTCTTCAAAGATTTAAAGCTCTTGTCATACAGGCCTTCCACTTGTTTGGTTAGAGTTAATTACTCTAAGATATTTTACGCTATTTGTGGCTATTGTGAAGGATAATGTTTCAGCCAGAGCCTTCCTAAGTCAACTCCCAAGCCCACCCCGCCTCCTGCCATGTTGGCGGGACCTTCCTGTGCTTCTGCTAGTCATCATCATCTCTTTCTGAGGCAAGGGGAGTTATACGGGTCTCTAGAGTCAACCTAGATGTTATTTCTGTCCATCACAATTACTGATCCTTGCAGGTGACTAGAAGACGTGACCTGCTCTTAGCCCAAGGGGCTAGAAAAAAAAGTCTGTGGGGGCTTCTGGCAAATGTCTCATTCATGATAGAGACTGTACACGAGGAGACCAGGAGTTTCTCCCTTTTACCGATTTTTACATGATGCCAAAAGCAAGGCAGCCATCTGAGGCTGAGAAAAAAGGGCTGCAAAAGAAAGTAGTTTGAAGCCAGTCATAGTGGTGGTCCCTTGTAACCCTAGCATTTAGTAGTCTAAGATAGGAGAAGTGCTTAAAGTTCAAGGCCAGGCTGGGCTACATATGACAAGACCCTGTCTCCAAAAAACAAACCTGTAAAAAGAAACCATGCAGAGGATTGTAGTGATATTTCATTTGTATTTTAATAAAGCTTGCCTGAAGTTCAGAGAATAAAACAGCTGCCCTGATCAGCCTTATAGGCAGTGGCAGTGGCGACACACTTTAATCTCGGTAGCCACAGTAGTTGTCATAGAAACAGGGCGTAGTGGGGCACACCTTTAATCCTAGCACTAGAGAGGATTATAAAATGGGAGGAGACAGCTCCCTCACACACAGTCTCATTCTGAGATTCCTGGAGGCAAGATCACCATTTCAGACTGAGGAAGAGGTAAGTAAGAGCCAGTGGCTTTTCTGACCTTTAGGCTGAACCCCAGTTTCTGTCTCTGGGTTTTTATAAATTGTGCTACAGAGGATGAGTAGGGAGTGCACTTGAACTTCATCGCAGCGATAATGCTGTGGCCCTGGATGAACACCCCGAGGGAACAAAAGTACCCTCAGATATGAGGCACTCCTGGAACTCTCCGGAGCGGCTAGCCTGGGAGGGAGGTACGGCAGACACATTATCTGAAGGTGGTGCTGAGGTGAGCAAAAGCATCCATTAGGACTACTAGTGTCTGAGGATTGTGGGGATTGAGGATTATCTGAAGTAGATTTTGAACCCTAGCATAGAAGCCTCTGATATGACCTAGCATGACCATGGAAATAATCATTAAAACAAAACAAATCTACCCAATAAATCTGAAAATCATACGATTCATTTCATAGTATTGTCAGTGGTTTCACAAATTCCACAGACAGGCAACACACACACACACACACACACACACACACACACACTGCCACTGAGGTCCCTGACCCCCTCCAACTTTTAACTGAGTATTATGAATAGTTACAATCAGTGTAATTAATATGGCTGAGTTTACCAAGTCCCTTTTCATTCTCAGTTTTGCTTCCTATGATTTTAGTCGTAGTCAAAGGAAGCCCCCCTCCCCCAGAAAAAAAATTAAATGGAAAATTCTGGTTGTATTTTGTTTTCAGCATACTTCATTTTGGATAGAATCTATTGCTAATCTGTGTTGTCGCATCCCCCTTGAATTTCCATCAGCCCCATTCTGTAACTCAGGCTAGCCTCAAGCCTGTGGTCGGTCTGTCTCTACCCCGCAAGCGCTGGGACTGCATCTGAGGCAGCACAGCTGCTCTGGTCTGTGAGCGGCACCCAGCGTTTTCATTCCCCACTCTGCCTGTCTGGCCCGTCTTCCTTTCCTCATTATGTGCAAAGTTCTAGCTCCTCGTTTACTTGTAAGAAAACATCTTTACCATAATTCTTTTTCTTTTAGTTTTTTTGAAACAGGGTTTCTCTGTAGCTTTGGAGCCTGTCCTGGAACTAGCTCTTGTAGACCAGGCTGGCCTCAAACTCAGAGATTCGCCTGCCTCTGCCTCCCAAGTGCTGGAATTAAAGATGTGCACCACCACCGCCCAGCTTACCGTCCTTATTTAAGGATCCCATTATGTCCATCATTTCTGGGCCCATACTTTACAGCATTTATTAATTGCTTTATGTGTATGAATGTTTGCTTGCATATTTGTATGTGTACCATGTGTGTGCCTAGTACCCAAGGAAGCCAAAAGGGGGTGTCAGATCCCCTAGAATGGGAGTTATAGACAACTGTGAGCTACTCTGTGGGTACTCGAATCAAACTTGGGTCCTTTGCAAATGCAGTGAGCACTCTTAACTGCTGAGCCATCTCTCCAGCTCCCAGACCCCAGTGGACAGTTGGTTTCCACTGATTTCTTTTAATTACCTGCCTCCCTCCTTCTCTCTCTCTCTCTCTGTCTCTCTCTCTCTCTCTCTCTTTCTCTGTCTTAATGAAACACTTCACGAATTTGCGTGTCATCCTTGTACAGGAGCTATGCTAATCTCTGTATCATCCCAGTTTTAGTAGCTGAGCTGCCGCAGTGAGCACGGGTTACCTGCTTCCACTATGCCTAGTTTCCCTAGCCTTTTTTGAGGCAGGGTTTCTATGTAGCCCATCTTGGTCTTTAGGCAATCCTCGTGTCTCAGTCTCCCAAGTACTGGTATTACAAGTACGCCACCACACCTGGCCATATGCCTAGTCATTTTTGACTGGTACCAGACATCATAAATTTTACACTCCTGGGTCCCAGATTGCCGGGCGCTGTTGGAGTCTGTTGTGACATACAGCTCAGTTACTTCTGGATCAGCTGGAATCTCTAGAGGCTTCTTTCCAGGCTCTGTAAAAAGGGGGTCCAGAGTGCCCTTTATCTGGGAGTTACTGTAAGCACCTACAAAGGTGTGCCACTCCGAGCACCAGCGCAAACAGGTTTCTCCACAAACCGTTCCCAGCTCCTGGTGAGCTGCAAGCACCGTGGATTCTTTTCTTCACAGGAGGTTCTTTTCCAGGTTTCAGAAGCGTTCTATCACGTTTGCACAAATCTACACCCAGCCCAAACTCTCAGGTCCACCTCCTTGGTTCAGTGACACAGCTGAGCCCAGGCGTTTCCACACACCCCCCCCCCCCCCCCCCCCCCCCCCCCCCGCCCCGCTGCAGTCTGTGGTTACAGTGTTGCGTGACCTATTTTTGTTTGTTGGTTTTTGTTTTGTTTTCGAGACATGGTTTCTCTGTAGCTTTGAAGCTTGTCCTAGAACTAGCTCTTGTAGACCAGGCTAGCCTCAAACTCACAGAGATCCACCTGCCTCTGCCTCCCGAGTGCTGGGATTAAAGGCATGTGCCACTGCCCCTCTGGCAACGTGACCTATTTTACAAAGTCTCAAAAAGTCATTGTTTTACTGTTTAAAACTAAGAGTTTGTTTTCAGCAGAAGAACGCTGGGCAGAACAGAACGTCCTCAAGGGTTCTTTAGCCGTTAAATCTATTTGTAACTCTCCTGACTTCATTACAGCTCTTCCTCATCAGGGCCCAAATCAGAAAACTGAGGCAATGGAAGGGGTGGGGGACAAGAATAGGTTATGAGCCTGGTGCAGCCGCCGTAAAACACCCGCTGTCTATGAGACCTGGTGTGAACCCCAATCCTGACAGCTTGCTGTGCCTTAGAAAGTCAGCACAATACCTCAGTTTCCTGTCTGGTGTAAGTTCCCTCACCACATGTAAACCCACGGAATAAGACCTCAAATATTATCTATGGAACACAAATATCCTTTTTACTGTTTGTGAAAATCAGTCCCTCTAGCAATCACACCATGTCCTTAATGGTTCCTATTCCACACAGACCCCACAAACCTCTGAAGCTTTGACAATAACATGGTTACAGTTCAAAGCAGTGCAGTAAAAACACAATAGGAAGCAGGATGTTGGGTCCTGTGCTAAATTCCAAATGAAAGACTTTCTCTTCAGAGCCTCCTACAGTAAATAGGAACCAAACACTCTTCCTTATTCATCTGGCCTAAAAATTATCCAGATAATAGTGTTTCTGTGTGTTTGAATATTTTGCCTGAATATCAGTAGGTGCATTACATCTGTGCTTGGAGCCTGTGAGGGTCAGGAGAGGGTACTGCACTGCCTGCAACTAGAGCTAGAAATAATTGTGTGTCACCATGTGGGTTCTGGGAACTGAACCAAGGTCCTCTGCAAGAGCAGTCAAGGGCTCCCAACTGTTGGAGCCATCTCTCCAGCCCCTCAATTTTTTTCCCTAAAGAAAATCAATTTTCTGTTTTATTATCATTAGCAAGAACATCAACTTTTTCCTGAAAACAAATTTTCTGGTACTCTGCATCATAAATCCTGACCACTATGGCTGGTCATGAAATAAATTTCTTGTTTTATTATTAACACTGGGAACACCAACTTTCCCTGCTAATTTCTGTGTGTGTACATGTGCCTGCATGAAAATGTGTGCATGCGCTAAGAACTACCTTGAATGTATGTGGTTTTTCAGGCGCCATCCACTTGTCTTTGGATACTGGGTGTCTCTCTCTCTCTCTCTCTCTCTCTCTCTCTCTCTCTCCCTCTCTCCCTCTTTTACAGAGTCTCCCCTTCTTGGTTTTTTTCAGACAAGGTCTTTCTATGTAGCCCTGGCTGTCCTGGAACTCACTATGTAGACCAAGCTGGCCTTGAACTCACAGAGATCTACCTGCTTCTCTTCCCTGGAGCTGGGATTAAAGGCATGGGCCACTGTGCCCAGCACCAAGCAAGACACAGTCTTTCAATGGGACCTTGCACTTATTCCAATTAGGCTAGGCTAGCTGGTCACTGAGCCTGAGGGTCCATCGTCCCTACCTCTCCAGCACTGTGACTTTAAGTGCTTGCCACCACATCCAGCTGCCCCTCCTCCTTTATATGGGTTCTGCAGACTGAACCCAGGTCTTCTTCCAAGAACTCTACTGGATGAAGCATCACCCCAGCTCTTCCCTGTTAAATTCTTACGGAGTACTTTAGAATACAGTTTATTAGATTTTATTTTCTTGGGCAACTGAAGACTATAAAAGCTGGCAAAGCCACTTGCTACTTGCACTTGGGCCAAAGGAGACACCTTTTCATAACCATTAGTGGTGGTTGGGTGAGAAACTTCCCTAAGATCAGTCCTTTGCCATATATACATTCTCCCGGGGTCTTCTCAGACCAGCCCTTTCATTCTTCCATCTTCCTCCCTTCCTCTGCATGATTACAGTGAGAATATCACAGTATTCTCCTTCATACCCAAGAAGTTAGAGCGTTCCAAACCTTAGCGCAGAGTGCCATCAGCTGTTACCTGGTGAGATCCGGCGGAAGGCGGACTCTTTACTAGGCCCTCTGTGTCGGAGGGGTACTTCCGTGGAGCCTGCTTAACTGGTGACAAACGCTCTGATGTACTGCAGCTGATGAGGTGACGATTTGAAGAACAAATGTGAAAACAAAAATTCACAATAAATGGAAACAAAAGTACAGAGATGCAAGGGACGGCACAATGAAGCAGCAGACGCACAACAGAAAACAGGAAACAAAACAGTGGGGCTGCAGACCATCAACAGCTACAAACTATCCTTGCTCCTCCAACTCCGGCATTCTTCTAAGGCAGACAGCTGTGGCCAAGGGCGGCAAGTAGCAACACTGTTTCCTGTGCGCTGTGCTGGCTTTTCTCCTGCCATCCACCCCTTTCAGGATAAATGTTTAAAGGCGCAAGTTCTACTTGCTTAATGGCCGAGTGCTTTACTCATCATCAAAGCAAAGCCTCATCTGGATAAATCTCAAAGATCCCACGCGACATCCAGATCCAGCACCGTGGCTCCCCTTCTCCTTCCGTTCTTTAGTTCCCCACATTTTGTTTCCCTAGCAACATCACAATCAAACAAAACCAAAAAACACAAAAGCCTCCAAAAAAAACACAAACAGCCAGGAAGTCATGACCCATGAGAAACTCTGGGATGCTACACGGATTGTTACATGGACTGAACTCTGTGAGAAGCATCAGGGAATCGTTACAAAATGCTACTCAGGAATAAGTCAGGGAAACTGAACAGGAAGCAGGTCATTAGGACTGACATAATAACCTAAGAAGTAAGGAGTCTGGAGAAGATCGCATTTAAAGTGTCATTACTAAGACCAAAGCATGCTGGGTACTTTGCAAACTGCCCTCTCTGGAATGGGAGGCTACATGCCCTGAGCCAAACTGTTCAATTATTCTAACACAAAGAAGGTCTTAAATCATCGACATTAAATTCATGTATGGAAATCACACACACACACACACATGAAGGGCACGCACACATACACGCTGAGATGAACCTAACTTCATCTGGATGTTTTATATTTTTAGTATGGCCAAACAACACACCTGTGAACAAACCATACTAGCTGTTGGGTTAGCGCCGAGCTGCCGGTTAGTGTCCACAAGGGGAACGGGCTAAACATGTACACGTTACACATATGGGCAATGTGATCAGTTACATGTGTCTAGGGAAGCAGAAGAGGAAATGCAGTCTTGTTACTGTGCCAGTATGTCTTCTATGTCAGCTGTTTTTTTTTTTTTTTTTTTTTTTAAAGAAGGGACGATAAGTAGGACCTGGTTCCAGCGTACCAAGGAAGAAAAGCAGGAAATGGTGGTGGTGGTGACATGACAAACTAAGAACAGCAGCAACCATGGTGCCATGCAGGACTGGAGAAACATCTTCCCGTCCACTTTATTAACCCCAAGCAAAAACTACGGTCTTGAAGCGTTACTACCTTAGATCAGTCTCATGTTGAGACCCATCAATCCTGCTGTATTTAATCACAAAACACACCCCATGCAAGGGAGCAAGAGTCAGCAGAAGAGACTCATTCCAAGCAAGTAATACCTGAATCAGAACAGCCAGGCTTGTTTAAACACAGCACTGCTAACAAGTGGAGGTCAGCAGAGCCCACAGAGAGAGGCTCCCACTATCCGGGCATGCAGGCCTCTCTAATCACAGTTCCTCTAGGATGGCGCAAGTTAGCTTGTGTGTGTGTGGTGCTGCCCAGGCTAGAGCAATTCGAATGCGGCCTTCGTCCCCAGACTGACTGTGTGAGCGCTACAGCTTACAGGGGCTAGCTTTCCAGCTGGAGTGGGGAAAAGAGAACGTCTTGCCGTTAGACCCAGCCCTACACTCAGGTGTCCCTTGTGTGACATCAAAACAGAAGCACCTCTTCCTTCTTCCTGTTACGTTTTCACATTAGCTCTGACTCTCCCACACTAGGTGCACACAACCAAGAAACAGCAAAGCAATGAAACTGCTTGGGTCGTAGTGGGGCGGGAACAACAGCGGAAGAGAAGCCCTGTATCACACAGGGCCCGGAGGGTCACGTACTGGCAGAGCATCTCCGTAGAGCAAAAGGAAGGTCCTTGTAGGATCAATAGCAACACATTGATTAATTTTTTTTTCTCATTTCATTTTTTTTCTTTTATATTTATCTGTGTGTGGGGAATCCGAGGTGGGGGGGGCACACATGTACACCATGTCATACAAATGGAGGTCAAAGGACACTTCATGA